TCCCCAAAACCCCTCAGCAGGGGGGTGTTCTGTTGCCAGCCGATGGACTCTGAGTCTCCACTCTGCACTCACCCACCTTTACAATGACATGTTTTCTTGTTCCTTGATGCTTGACACCCGATCCCTTCGACAGCTCGTGGTCACATATACTGATCTTCTTCCATGTGGGCTTTGTTGCTTCAGAGCTAGTTGGCCGCTTGTTTATCTTCCAGCCTTTAAGACCCCAGACGCTGTATCTTTTGATAGCCGGGCACTGTTAGCTCTCTTCACCACATTTGCTTATGCACACGTTTGTCTTCAGTGATTGAGTCAGTAGAGCAGGCACCCACTGATATGATTTTAAGTTCTTTGATGTCTGGTAACTGATCCCTTCTATACCTCGTGGTCAGTCAGGCTGGTTTGCTTCGCTATATGTTGTCTTCAAGCCCTTAAGACCCCAGACGCTGTATCTTATGGTTGCCGGGCACCATCAGCTTTCTTCACCACCTTTGCTTATGTTCACATTTTTCTTCAGCAATCGATCCGGAAAGGTGTGCATCCTGGAATGCCAATTTAAAAGAACAATGTGTTCTTCCAATGAGTAAGTGCATGAGTGGAGGCCCAATGTCCATCTGCTGCCTTAATACTAAACCTAAAACTATATGCACGTAGATCTGTTTTCCCACACTCATATATAGTTACATATGTACATTCCAGTCTTAAAACCTCTATACATACCCTTTGTCCCCTAGTTCTTTCCTCTATTTCCCTTTACTTTCCTCTTGTCCCACTATCATGGTCAGCCTTCATTTGGGTTTCAGTGATTTCTCTCGGTTACAATGCCCTTGCTGAATCCCTACCAGGCCTCTCGTACCCTCCTTGCCCCTGTTTTTGGATCACTTGTTGCCCCCCTGTCCTTGGGTTGGTCAGCACCACCTCCTTTCCCCAGCCTCTCCCTCTCCCGTGTCCCCCCAGAACCGTTGGTCCCGTTGTTTTGTCACCAGACTATTCATCCAGTCTATCTTATCAAGATAGATCTGTAGAGATACTAATATGCATCAAAAACCAAGCCATAGCAAGATAGGCAATCAGTGAGAGCACAGTGATGGCAACCAAAAAGGAAACCAATTACCCATAGAAGAATAAGTTAATTAAACAAAAAAAAATTTAAGCAGAAAGAAAAACCTGTAAATAGATCAAGGTCTGATTTTTGATCTCTAGGCGTGTCCTTCAGTCAAGACCGATGGGGTACCATGCTCTGGCCCCCAAGTCTGTCCTTTGTACTCCCTCGGGGGCTCTCTGCTCTGCTCCCATGGTTGCTTTGCCGCACGCTTTTTGTGGTTTGCCTCGGTGTTTTAGGGTCAGTCTGGGCCAGTCCCAACACTGAGTCTCCAGCATTGTCCCCCTTAGAGCCCGGGGCCATCAAGGGTGGCGTGTCTCATGGTGGGATCAGTCATATTGTCCACTCGGGACAGGTGGGTTTTATCAAATGCTTTCACTGCATTGAACTACATATGCTCATGAATGTTTTTCTTCTTTAACCTGTTAACATGATAAATTACATTGACAGGTTTTAAGAATATTTATTTTTTAGAGCAGTTTTAGGTACACTCAGTGTAGAATACTGTTGTCACAAATTCCTTCACCTTTCTGCACTTGCTCTTATTATTCACATTTCACATTACTATGGTACATGTATTACAACTGATCCACCACTATTGATACATTATTACTAACTAGTGTCTATAGTTTACATTCACATTCACTCTTGGTGCTGGAAGACTTAGGGGTTTTGACATGTCTGCATTACATTATCATGCAGAGTAGTTTCACATGAGGAGCTTAAAAATAAATCATATACCTACACCCAATACTAGAGATTTTTATTAATTGGGGTAGAAGCAGTAGACTAGGCCTCAATGTTTTTAAAGATGTCTGCACAAGACATATTAATTATCTCAGCACATCTAGCACAGAATGATAGCTAGTACACAGACCAAGTCACAGAAAATGCTTAAAAGCAAAATACCAGCTGAGTGTACATTTTGCTCTTGAATGCTGTAGAAGCCTGGAACACAAAGAAGATGGCAGCGGGAAGGGTGGCATCACTTGTTCCGAGATCTTTACGTTCTGCCTTTATTCATATGTGCCTGTCTGGCGGTTGACATTCTTTAGGCCCTGTGATCGCAAGGGCTGACATATCTTGATCCGTCAGATGACATATCTTGATAATATAATTAATCATCAAAGAAGTACTCAAGTATTATTGCTGTATAATACTTTTATTAGTTTCATGGAAAAACAAACACTGCAATAAATCTGTTACATCATATAATCTTCAGACGTGTTAGAGCCCAGTGACAAATTACACTTGGAGAGAAGCGTTTAAGGTCCACACTTAAATGAACCCCTTTGTAAAACACCAAAAAGCAGCTCTGGCCCTCCCTGTTACAAAGAGCACCATTTAAAGGACTGACACACATTGAATCGTGTTCTAATTACCATCTTATACTCTATGACAGACAACAGAGCTGCCCTCATGTAAAATGCTTCAGTGTAATAACAACCATCATCCGCAAATTCACCACAATTGACACGGGTTTTACAAATGGGCCCAGGGCAGGGGTTAGGACTAAGCAACCTCAGGGAGTTGTGGCTGTCCCAACACCACAAGCTGGGCTGGGGAGGTGTCCTGGGACAGAGAGAGTATAAAAGAAGGGTGATGATACATGCTTAATATAATACTTAAGGTAGATACCGCTTAGCCAGTTAACTTGCCGATACCTACATCATCCCAGGAGGTTTGAGTATTGCACACCAATCTTGCAGCAAAAGCACTTGGAACTCAAGGACCAACCAAGGCTCAAGCTAATAAAAATATCTTACATTGTACAAAGGAAGCGCATCCACTCCAAAGCACAAGCGAGAGAAGCAAATGAGACAAAACCCAGATTAGAATGCTAAGAGGGATTCCACTGTTAAAACGGGATTGCATATGCTGACAGACTCTTGAGTTTTTGCCTCTTTCTCTTTTTTCCCTTGTAACTTTAAAATACGGTTGGCCTTTTGACAACAAAAGTTTGGGTTCCTTGCAGAAACCATAGCCCTTCCACTTCCAGTTGTGTCGGGCTTCTATGGGGAGACAAATGCCTATGTCTACCAGGATTTACAAAGTGCCAATCCTTACCCATGCCATGGCTACAATCACTGTAGAGGACAGTGAGCACTTAGCTGTAAGGATGAGTCAGGGTAACGTAGGAGAAAAAAGGGGAGGAGGACATCTGTTCTTAAGCCCCTAGCCCAAAGGACAAACAGTAGGGATTTTAGAAATCTCTGAGAATAGGATATATGAGGGGGCTTCAAAGTGTTTGTGGAAAAATTCCTTTAGTATTTAATTCCACTTTTTCACCAACTTTTTGAAGCCGCCTCATATTTCAAACACACATGAACACAGACTATTGCATATCATTTTTCAGTTGAGGTCTAAATTTTAAAAGCCCTATTTCCCCAAGTAAGCAGGGAAGTCATTATAAGGTTTTCATCATTTATACCCTAGATCAGCAGTTCTCAATTTGTGGGTTGCGACCCCTTTGGGGGTCAAACGACCCTTTCACAGGGGTCGCCCAATTCATAAGAGTAGCAAAATAACAGTTATAAAGTAGCAACAAAAATAATTTTATGGTGGGGGGGGGGTCACCACAACATGAGGAGCTGTATGAAAGGGTCACGGCATTAGGAGGGTTGAGAACCACTGCCTCAGATGAAGAGAAACCCAGTCTAAAGGAATTGCTTTGTCATTTCAGCAGCACACACGGAGTACTGACAGACACGTGGAAGATTTCATCGTAGATCCGCTAGGTCTACAAGTGACTAGAAGTATTTGGAGTGAAGTGAGAGGGCTGAAACTGCTCTTCTGTTCTTTTCTTACAGGGTTTCTTTACCCTGTATGCATATACACAGAAAACCAATACTGTCAAGACTAGGTATAGTCTCCAGGGGGGTTGCCAACAGAGGTTAAATCCCATTTGACTCTAAGCTTTTAGCAAGCCAATCATCAAGATCTGGAAGTTCTCTGTACCTGAGACAATCCGTCTACTTGAGTAGCTTAGGTAATGTGTGATCTGAGACCCCATGGGGTCTACCTGACTACTGACGTGCAGGTGGGAAGGGCAGAGGAGGAGAGCAAAGAGGGAAGGGAGGAGCTTTCTGTAGTACCAAGCTCTGTTCAGTGAGATCCAAGGAGGCCATCGTGTTACGTTTGAGAATAGTAACAAAAGAGGAGATATTTTCGGTCCTAAATTATTGAAGTGTTTTCTACCATCACTCCCTTAGCTTCGTCACTCTCCTTTCCTCTCCCCACAACCCTCACACCAGGCTGCAGTTCCTTCGGAGCCAGCCCTCCTGCAGAGCTATTTCTTCTTGCTTTGGCAACTTGAACTCTGTGAGTCTCCAACCGCCTCCGGCCCACCCTCTTAAAACGGCTACACAATCTTACTACCTTCACTGACTTTCAAAATCTACCAAACGCTTCTTCTGCAGAAACGAAGTCTCTCTCTAACAAAACCCTAGAAAAGGATGAGGAGTTTTATTAGGGGCTCGTTCCCACCCTCCCTCTCTGCCTTCCAGACCAGGCGTGCGAGAGCGTGTCTGAGGGTGATGGGGGGGAGTGTCAGGGAGGGGCAGTGCTGATGGAGTTGTTCCTCAATTCCTCTTACCCACACCGGCTAGAGGCCTTGATTTCACATCTGGCAGAAAGACTGTCGCAGAACTTGGAAAACGGATACTCGCCCTCCATTTCTAGAATGGAAGGATCTGAAGGACTAACAGCACCCAAACCTACTGTCATTGACACCTGACTCAGTTCAAAGAAGCCTCTGGCCTGAGAGAAATGGAAGGATCTCCAACCCACTCTATGGATGACACCTGGGTGGAGTAAACATTTTCATACATGACCACATGACAATTGCATCTCACACCTGTGCACACAAGATAAGAGTACAAACTGAAATCCTCCATGATGACTTTTGAACCCTCATCAGTGGCCACGTTACCTAATGAATATTGGGTAATTGAAATGCTAATACAACTAAAGGCTATATCGAACCTGAGAGCCAGTTATAATAGTATTCGACCTGAATTTTAAAATGGCACATCATTCAAAAAGCCACGGGAACCATAAACAAAGCTCTTCCCGAAAGCCTTTCACTGCAGAAGGTAGCCTGGAGTGGGCAAGCACTGTTTGCTCTCAGCGGTGGACCCCCGAAACACTTGGCTTTTTGCAAACCCAGCAAAACAACAAGCCCACACCTGACTGCCTCACACCTGGGATCCAAGAGGTCTCTGTACCCAACAGACAACTGTGCTGCTGCCAGCTTTGAAAGGGAAGAGAGGTCGCTAAACTGACCTGCGAGCGCCCTCTCCCTGTGGCTGGGCTCATCTTAGCAGTCGGGGTTTCTCTCACTCATCAACAGGTGGTCTCTTTCAGTGCTGAGTGGGTGACTTGCATTTCTCTGTAAAATGGAAGAATCACAGACACTTGGAACCCCAGGAGTGGAGGGAATGGTTACTTTTCAGTCCACAAATGGAAGTCACTGACCCACCTCATCATCAGACACTGAAAAGGAGGAGGCAGAACAAACTGGTCCTGTTAGAAGCCCGGAGAACAGAGCCCTGCTTCTCATGAATGAAACACCAACGTTAAATTTCTTGCTTCCCTTTGCCAGGAATCCTTGAGGGGACTATCAAAGGGGCTGAATGAACTAAGCTCAGAGCAGTGGTAAGGGAGTGAACGGGGTCAGCCACACTTGTGTAAGATGGTAGAAGGCTAGCCAAAAAAGGAAATCTTAGCAAGCGTTTCTCAAGAGCCTGCCGTTTCCCTATATATTCTTGTAAGACCAATGAAGAGCCCTCCCAGCCTCCCCCTCATTAAAAAGCAAAAGCAAAAAACGGACACATAAAAATCTTCTAAAGATGAAAAACATAAATGCTTCCCCCCAACTCCATTCTTACCTTACTTCAGAACTGTCTGCTCTGAGAGAGAAAGAGAGAAACAGACCAAAACAACATTACACAGGGCTGGGCCAGGAGGGAAAACCCACCCACATGGGCCCACAGAGAAAGGGGTGGCACCAGACTGAAACAAGCAAGCAGATCGTTTGCATTCTGTCTTTGCTAATGTGGGGTCGAGTGCCTTTAGTGGGAGCTAAAACCAGCAGTAATACAGATGCCTGGGCCTCTGCTGGGCCAAAAAGGCGCCCTTTTGGCAACTCTGGGTTCTGAGCTGGCCAGGCCCAATAGAGTTTTTCAAAGAGGCCACTTCTCCACTCAATCTGAAGGGGGCTGTCACCGCTGGCATGTGACATGAAAAGTACCTACGGGCATCTGGCATCACTAAAAAAAGATTCCCAGACCCTGGGAACACCGAGACCCCATGCAAGGAAAGCAGCCCCCTGTGATGTGGCAGCAGGGCAGAGGGCAACCACCTGGTAGGATCCATCCCTTGGAGACCCAAGGTAGCAGGGGCCGCATCTCTGCCCAACAAGGATCCTGAGCACCTGCAGTTCCTTCCTCTCAGGAAAAAGAGTTTCCTGCACGGTCTTTCCTGCACTCCCCCAACATACTTTGGTGAGGGTCCATTCGCAGAGAGAATACATCTAGCTGGGCTAGGAAGATTCCAATAACCTTATTATTATTACTATTATTTTTTTCTTAAAATAAACTCCATGAACTCAAAAGCTCTCATCTGCAATCAAATGCAAAAGCAGAGCGTCCTACTCAGAGGCTCAGAAACACACACATCGGCCTCAAAGCAAATTGGCCTTCCAGTCTCCGGTGAGACTGGCTCAGTCCAGAAAGGTCAGGGAACGGCTTCTTGTAATCCCGGGAGGCAGACGGGATCCCTTCAGATGGGCTTATACAGCAGAGTGGTGACATACTTCTTCTTGTAACGATGAGTGGCACTGAGGACCATCACACTATCCTGCAAGGGAAAGAAACACATGCAGCTCATCCACTCCTTCCTGCTCTGCGCAGCCATCAGTCGCTCACAGGCAGTCACTCTTAAGAGGCAGAGTTTACGACACCCAAAAAGGGTTTGTTTGTGGAGGCAGATCTGCTGTGTTATCATCCTAACTCCTATAACTGCTAGTTTTCTCGATTGAGAAAGACCTTGGTCCATGGCTTCGTGCGATAAAGAATTCACTCCAAAGCCTGGTTGGTCATCCAACTGAGTTTTTATAAAGGATAGAAGGAGTTTCAGGCGTTATAGTAAACTGAACATGAGAGAGAGAGACACCACCGGCTCTCTCCCAGCGGCTCACACACAGTTCAGCGTGGCTGGGTCCGCTTGGCCCTCTCTCTCTCTCTGGCTCATGTTCAGTTTACTGTAACACCTGAAACTCCTTCTATCCTTTATAAAAACTCACTTGGATGACCAACCAGGCTTCGGAGTGAATTCTTTCTCGTGCGAAGCCATGGACCAAGGTCTTTCTCACTCAAGAAATCTAACATCACTACTAAATTTAGTCAGGGGTAATCTACAGTTCTTCCCAAGTCTTGTTTCCTATCAATATAAAGGACAGGACCCACATGAAGGTGGCTCTAATGATTACATGAGAACGTTGGGCATGGGAACCGACACACAACAGCCACATTTTAATCCTGGGCTAAACACTGATTATAAACAAAGGAAAATAAAAGAAATACCGCCCCACCCGTTTGTTAAAGGGAAGTCTTCAATGTCGCGAGAAGAATAATAGCCCTTCTGTAAAACCATCTCAAGAGGCAAGGCAGATCCCGTTTCCACTTGATACCGGTGAGGAATTCCGAAAGAGCTCTCTGATCTAGGTGGCCCTCGGGTAGCCACTCTTAGAGCCCCAAATCCTCTGTGAAAGATACTCAATCCAACGGCTCCATTCCAAAGAGCCTAACCAACAGCAGAGACCCAAGAATGGGTCAAGGCCTAGCTGGACCACAATGATCAAGACTCTTGCCAAGCTCAGAGCCAGTAAGAAGAGAAGAAAGGGCTCCATTTCCGACTTGTATTTTAGCCTGGGGGTAGGTGGCAATCCATAGTAGAGAGCAAGCCTCTGCACATCAATGACCGAAAAGAGCAGCCACAGCAGGCAATATCCAACCAGATCACAGGGAACCCACGCTAATTTAATTCCGAGAACAATGCAGGCTCCCATCTTCCCCCATAGAGATCACTCATGAATGCTTCTCAGGTTATCATCCTGTGACAAGAATATGCCAAGTATAACAGAAGCAGGGAAGCAAAAATAAATCCAACTCTGGCAAGAATTTAGTATAAATGAGGAACAAGTATAAGTAAGAACTATGTGGAAAGACCTGGCCAATGAGCTACAGGAAAGAAAATGGGGTTAGGGTAGGAGGACTGGACTTTAATGCCATCCCGGGTACTCACTGGCAAGTCAACCTTCTCTGAGCCTTAGTTTCTTTATCTATAAAACAGGGATTAAAAAGAACACTTAGCTCACAAAGTGATTATAAAAATTCAATTCAATAATATATGCTATGAAATTACCACATAATTGGTGAGCCAACTATACCAGTAAAGTCCCTAATCTGGCTTCACATCTTAGAAATATAAAGAAACAAGCAGCAGCACCACTCTGCCCCTGGACAGGCAGAAAGCCCGACCAAAGGATGCAGGACACTGATGGGAGGGGAACGAAGCAAACACATCTGGGGGAAATGCATGCTGCTGGTAGGAAAAGAGGGAGCACCCACCTCCAGCTGGGGGGAGAATGACTGAAAATGCTAACGGGGGGAGTGTCTTTGGTGGTATGCACCAAATGGACCACATTCACCGGGGCTTCTGGGTGTATCCTGGGGACCCAAGCTGGGTGCTGTGGAGTGTGGGTACACCGAATCCTGGATCTTCAAGGCACACAGCATGTTCCAGAGGCTGCATCAATGAGATCCCATGTGGGAACTCCACTGGGTAAACTGATCTGGAATTTACCTTAGACATACTTGTAACTTAAGGACTAAAGTCAGAAAATGCCTGGTGTCTCAGGAAGCAGAAGACAGCTACATCATGAGTGGTGTACTATTTGGAAGGCAGACAAACATGGTTTTGTAACATCAATGCCCTATATGCTGAATTAACATATGTTTTATTCTGGCAAACCTGTGAGGGACATTGTTTTATTTTTGTTTGTTCATATTAGGGTGTATC